GAAAGTCAACAACGGACAGTGTCGGGTACAGTATCATCAAAGTTATATCTTATCCACTTTACTTCTCACTAAGGATATCTTTAATGGCGCTAAAGAAAAACGTGTGTCACTAGTGACGTGGCTAACATAATAACAAGAAGTCTCCGACGTTTTTCACCAAGGAAAGGTCTGTTTCAAACGAAACATTCATATACGTACGTCAAGGAGAAGATTCTAAAATCCCTAGCCTAGATCTCATGTAATTATTGTAAAAAAGATAAGATTTGGGCGGGGCACACTTCCTTACAGATGAGTCTATGAAAGTGCTGTTGAACACGTTTTCATAGATTTTGCACATTGAGTGAGGGAGAAAACGGGTGGGCGTTTACAGACGTGTATTGTTTTCTGTTTCTGCTAGGGCGCTAGGCACAGTTCGTTTGTAAGGTGGGGAGGAAAGGATGTTGAATCATAGAGGCATATGTGTCCCTCTGTCTAGAGATGTATGTCCACAGTGGACGGAAAGGACCCGGCTGAGACTAAACTATGATTCATAGCAGATTTTTTGGCTCTCCTCCGAACTTCTACCCCCGCATTATGGCGCCCTGAAATATCCGTACAGCTCAGTACAATAAAAAATATGCGAACTTCCGGCGACAAACGAGTCGCGGCAAAACTAGGATCGGCTCCGTATAGCGAAACAAATGCTCTTAGGGTCTCAGCAATATGTTAATTGCGGACCTGTTTCTGTGACTATGCCTCACCGCCGACCGTATCCCACGCGCCGCTACGCGCGGCGCGGATAGGGGCTAAACTAGATGCCTGGGACTCCCGAGCAGCAGCTACTGCATCTCCTGCAACTTCCTCTAATTAATTTGCTCGTGAGTCTCAGCCATCTAGTTTAGATACTCTCGGTGGTCGGTAGAAGTGCCCAAATTTAAGTCGCCGGAAGTGCGCAATTTACATGTGACTGAGGCCCTCTTAGGGTATATTTTTGGTTTTGATAATTTAGGACTGTTATTCGGAAGATAGCAAACATTTTCTAAATAAAGTTTTTCAAGGTTAGTTATTTGTGTCTACTCAGGTTGCACCCAGTCATGTGTACCACACCAACTCATTTATACCACACCCACTTGTGTGTACTACACCCACTCATGTGTACCATACCCACTCATTTATACCACACCCACTCATGTGTACCACACCCACTCATTTATACCACACCCACTCGTGTGTACCACACCCACTTGTGTGTACCACACCCACTCATTTATACCACACCCACTCGTGTGTACCACACCCACTCATTTATACCACACCCACTCATGTGTACCACACTCACTCATGTGTACCACACCCACTCATTTATACCACACCCACTTGTGTGTACTACACTGAATCTTTTGCATCAGTCAGTCATATGCACCACTGTCAGTCATTTGCACAACTCTCAGTCCTGTGTACGACACCTAGTCAATTGCACCATGAAAATCACACTTAACCGCCTTCACCTGGATCTACACACCTGGTGACGCTGGTGTAAAGTGTAATGAGCGAGCAGACCAACTGGCAAGCAATGCACCAATGCATGTGGGCAGAAGCATTCACCGAGCAGATATTGTCAACGCTGTATGGACTGGGCTAGTGGATAATGATGAATCTCTGGCACTAATGCGATTGTGTGACATGAGAGTAAAGCATGGTGAAGCACTTTCATGCTGCCTTCGAGGCCGAGATAGGAGACATTATAACCAGCTTCTTGTGGGTACAATAAGTAAAAGTACCTTGGAGTGGCTGCTGCATCGGATAACTGAGCACACATGGGAATGTCCAGTTTGCAGTGACATCAGCTGTGACAACATAACATGTGCACCTAACCCCATTATGTGCATAATTTATTTACATGTATCTCCTTGGTTTTCCAAAAATGAAGGTTAGAATAAGAATCTGTCGAGTACATGCATACCTCTGAGTCAGTGCCGACACACAACACCCAACACACAACACCCACCGCACAGTGAAATCAGGAAAATAAAAGGCAGCAGATTAAAGAGAGGACAATCATAGATGGGTCAGGCCTAGGCTATTGTGTAAGAGGTTTGTCCACTTGAGCATGTAGACCTTGAGGAGGAATGGACCTCCAGAGTGTCATACGTCCTTTGTGCATCAAGCTGAACAGAGAATGCAGACAGTAAAACCCAGTGGTTGTGGAAGCATAACTGCAAGCCATCCCGTTCACTGCATCAAGACATCCACCGACATAGCTGTAAGAATCATTCGTGCACAAAATACCCCACTGCATCAAGACATCCACCTGACATAGCTGTAAGAATCATTCCTGTACACAAACTACCCCACTGCAACAAGACATCTGCCGAGCTGTAAGAATCATTCATGCACAAAAAACTATCCCGCTCACTGCAACATGACACCCACACCTTGTGATGGAAAGCAATAGATATTTCTGAATAAATAAAATGCATGTGCTTGTTGAAACTTCATAGTCTCTTTTGTGTGGTCGGCATGCTGGAGATATTTGCTGATGTCTGGTTGATTAGATTTCTAGTATCTTCTCTGTGCGTCTGTTTTCTCAGACATGCTTGTTGTAATTGTTTGTTCCAGTTTGTCAATCTCATGAAGTATTACTAGAATATTGATTGGCTACTTGCACTTGAGTGCTATGACAGTGTATTGTCTTGTCTGGTGATCCTGTCATGTCATGTCTGGTGATACTGTCATGTCTGGTGATCCTGTCATGTCTGGTGATCCTGTCTTGTCTGGTGATCCTGTCATGTCTGGTGATCCTGTCTTGTCTGGTGATCCTGTTATGTCTGGTGATCCTGTGTTTGAATGTCTGACAAAACATATTTTACAAACTCACCTGTGCTACCAGGTTGACCTAGACTCAAAAAGGTGCCAGGACATTTTCTGGGAAGCAAAAGCAGCTGGTGTGATACTGATAACAAGTCTTCTCTCTAAGAGTTTTACACTGTAGACACCAGACTAGCTACATTTGGGATGTCAGTCCAACAGGAGCACATCCCTTGCACAGTGTTAAAACTTATGCGGTTATAATTAGAGAAACATGATCAAGCAAATAACAACAGTTTCTATGTAATGCCCCAACTGATCTGCTTTTGAAACAGTTTATAGAAACAAACTTGACAGTGGTAGAAGATCCATTCTGTCAGTTCAGTTCTCAAGTCCCATACTCAACTGTCACTGATGTCATTGACACTGACACTAGAAGTAAGCCTGTGTATGTGCAAGAACATGTCACTGACACTGGCACTAGAAGTAAGCCTGTGTATGTACAGGAACATGTCACTGACACTGGCACTAGAAGTAAGCCTGTGTATGTACAGGAACATGTCATTGACACTGGCACTAGAAGTAAGCCTGTGTATGTACAGTAACAAGTCACTGACACTGGCACTAGAAGTAAGCCTGTGTATGTACAAGAACCATCAGTAGCAGAGTTTCCCAGCCTTTGAGAGGGCAGTCTGTGAAAGTAACATAGTAACTTTCTTTTCTTTTTGTCTACCATTTCAGAAGCCAAGCTGATGGTGACAACACAAGGAAAAGACAAGTTGGACATTACTTGACTGTATCTGCTGAGGTATATAATTGCATCTGGATGTCATTGTAGCCAGAAATTGCAGATGTATTGGAGGTATTTGGTGGATGAGCTGAAGCCATGGAACACCTGCAGCCCTTGTAGTTGACAATGTGCACGGTTGGCAATCAGACAAGCAGGTTGGCTTGGGGTGACAGCAATCTCCACTTATTATGGCACCAACTTCTCTATAATCTGTCTCACATTATCAGCTTTTAAATTTGATAGGAAATGAGCTATCTTTACAGATTCCCACATTGGAATACATTGAACATATGTAACTTTTTCACACATTGGAATACACGGAACATATATAGCCTTTTCACATTTTGGAAAACACGGAACATATGTAACCTTTTCACGCATTGGAATACACGGAACTTATGTAGCCTTTGTCCACTTCATGTCCTACAGCAGGGAAACAAGTGTTGATATGGAAGCCAACAAGTTGTATCATACATTACCACAGCAGAGACCTTCATCGGCTGCAAGATCACAACCAGCAGTGAAGAGACAGACATTGTCAGGTCATGGGGATGAAAATGTAGAAATAACTGACTCTTTACTGACTTCAGATGTGTCACTTTCAACAAAGCCAACTGCCACTACAAGAGATGAGAAATATTCCAGCACACTACCAAATCAGACATCACAGACGTCTGCTGGGATGTCACTGGGTTCAGATGTGTCACTTTCAACAAAGCCAACTGCCGCTACAAGGGATGAGAAATATTCCAGCACACTACCAAATCAGACATCACAGACGTCTGCTAGGATGTCACTGAGTTCAGAAATGGCAGGCAAAAAACATCAGATGTCAGCTTGTGTGGCTGAGAATGTCGCAGATGTGGCGCTTCTGTTGATGCCAGGTTTGTCCGGTGATCAGGAGACAGATGTCAGAGGAGGGGTCTCTTCTACATTGCCACGGGAAACATCTCCATCAGCTCCTACACCTTCTGCACCACCAACCAAGAGACATTCTGTTCCTATTTATACTCGTGACAGTCCTGAACAGTTGGAGCCACTGATGTCAGCTTCACTTCAGCCGACTGTTTGTGATGGAGATCAAAGGTTTCACAAAGCATCATCTGACACAACATCTGTCCCATACACCACCATCGTCCAGTCCCTGGAAGAAGCAGCTCTGGACAGATATTACTCTCTAGGTCACACGGCTAGCAGTAACAGGCACCTGGAGCCTAGTGGTTTATCAGGCTCACCATCAACACCCTCACGGCAACAGTTTGGTAGCGGAGGCACCAGTGCTGCTCTTAGAATCCCACATCCTGCGTGTGAACAGCCCAGCACATCTGGGTTTTGTTCAGCAACAAAGCTGGAGAAACATTCGTCCCCCAGTCACAGTGCTGGTATGAGTCATGAACCTGGCTTCACACCTGGGACACCAGACATGAACATTGTTGGTCCAGCAGGTGCTTCAGCTACTGCTTTTTCTTATCAAACACCTTCATCGTCACCCACTACCTTACAGTATTCAAGAGCCACAACAGACAGTCTTCCTTCCACAAGTGCTGCGGTAACAAATGTGGAGCAGCCAGAGCCTTACTTTACTACACGTTCATCACAGAGTGGGAGTGGGAGATTTTCAGACAAGATATCACGTCAAACATCTGCTTCATCTGCCACACCATTACATCTTGCAGGATTGGCCGGTGAGATACACCCTTCTCCCACTCATACAGCAGAGCTGATGCTGTCTGGAGGTCTGCCCATGAACCGAAGACGTGCAGGAGCATCACCTGAAGCCCAGCATGTCACCATGAGAGGAACTATCACCAGAGGCAACAGTGTGGGCCAGCCAGTTAAGGTATGTATGGCAGCCGGTTAAGGTATGTGTGATAGCCAGTTACGGTATGTCTGGCAGCCAGTTAAGGTATGTGTGATAGCCAGTTACGGTATGTCTGGCAGCCAGTTAAGGTATGTGTGATAGCCAGTTACGGTATGTATGGCAGCCAGTTAAGGTATGTCTGATAGCCAGTTAAGGTATGTGTGATAGCCAGTTACGGTATGTATGGCAGCCAGTTGAGGTATGTGTGATAGCCAGTTACGGTATGTATGGCAGCCAGTTAAGGTATGTGTGATAGCCAATTAAGGTATGTCTGATAGCCAGTTAAGGTATGTATGATAGCCAGTTAAGGTATGTGTGATAGCCAGTTAAGGTATGTATGGCAGCCAGTTAAGGTATGTGTGATAGCCAGTTAAGGTATGTATGATAGCCAGTTAAGGTATGTATGGTAGCCAGTTAAGGTATGTGTGATAGCCAGTTAAGGTATGTATGGCAGCCAGTTAAGGTATGTGTGATAGCCAGTTAAGGTATGTATGATAGCCAGTTACGGTATGTATGGTAGCCAGTTAAGGTATGTGTGATAGCCAGTTACGGTATGTATGGCAGCCAGTTAAGGTATGTGTGATAGCCAGTTAAGGTATGTATGATAGCCAGTTAAGGTATGTGTGATAGCCAGTTAAGGTATATGTGATAGCCAGTTAAGGTATGTGTGGTAGCCAGTTAAGGTATATGTGATAGCCAGTTAAGGTATGTATGATAGCCAGTTAAGGTATGTATGGTGGCCAGTTAAGGTATGTGTGGTAGCCAGTTAAGGTATGTGTGGCAGCCAGTTAAGGTATGTATGGCAGCCAGTTAAGGTATGTATGGCAGCCAGTTAAGGTATGTATGGCAGCCAGTTAAGGTATGTATGGTAGCCAGTTAAGGTATATGTGATAGCCAGTTAAGGTATGTGTGATAGCCAGTTAAGGTATGTGTGATAGCCAGTTAAGGTATGTGTGATAGCCAGTTAAGGTATGTATGGCAGCCAGTTAAGGTATGTCTGATAGCCAGTTAAGGTATGTGTGGTAGCCAGTTAAGGTATGTCTGATAGCCAGTTAAGGTATGTATGATAGCCAGTTAAGGTATGTGTGATAGCCAGTTAAGGTATGTATGGCAGCCAGTTAAGGTATGTGTGATAGCCAGTTAAGGTATGTGTGATAGCCAGTTAAGGTATGTGTGATAGCCAGTTACGGTATGTGTGATAGCCAGTTAAGGTATGTGTGATAGCCAGTTAAGGTATGTATGGTAGCCAGTTACAGTATGTCTGGCAGCCAGTTGAGGTATGTGTGATAGCCACATGCACACAGACGCTCACATTTCCCCTAACACACGCAGACGCTCACATTTCCCCTAACATACACAGGCGATCACATTTCCCCTAACACACACAGACGCTCACATTTCCACTAACACACACATGCACACAGACGTTCACATTTCCCCTAACACACACAGACGCTCACATTTCCACTAACACACTCATGCACACAGACGTTCACATTTCCCCTAACACACACAGACATTCATATTTCCCCTAACACACACAGACGTTCACATTTCCCCTATCACACACATACACATTGATGCTCACATTTTCCCTAACACACACAGGCGATCACATTTTCCCCAACACACACATACATACAGATGCTCACATTTCCCCTAACACACAGATGATCACTTTTTTCCTAATACATGCAGATGATCACATTTCCCCTAACACACACAGATGATCACATTTCCCCTAACACACACAGATGATCACATTTCCCCTAACACACACAGATTATCACATTTCCCCTAACACACACAGATGATCACATTTTCCCTAACACACACAGATGATCACATTTCCCCTAACACACACAGACGCTCACATTTCCCCTAACACACACAGACGATCACATTTCCCCTAACACACACAGACGATCACATTTCCCCTAACACACACAGACGATCACATTTCCCCTAACACACACAGACGATCACATTTCCCGAGGACAGCCATCAGCAGTCTTGCCACCTTGCAATATCGTAGCCCCTTCCCCCCCCCCCCTCCCCACCAGCAAAAAAGGGCCTCTGAACACACACACAGAGAACTAAATATGAATGTACCATGTTTTACATAATCCATGGAAAAGTCCAGACTAAGAGTTAATTCAGGACTTAAGATGTTTACGCACCCAGATATAAAAGAGGAAAGAGTAGATGTAAACATATTCATATATTTGAGTTACTAGCTTGTCCTGCTGGACAGATATTTCCTGACTTATGTTATCTTCTTTAGGTTCAGCTTGATTTGACGGAGACTGAATTTCTTCGTCTGACCTCACAAGAACCACAGATAAAAGAAGATTTCAAGTGTGGGTGTGGGCGCAGCCGCGGCCCACACATCATTCTCTGGTCTCTTTTATGTATACCAGTGGCCATCGCCATTTCTTTGTGTATTGCCTTTTACAATGGCGCAATGGCCTGGTATAATTTGATTATATACTTCAGCGAAGAGAGGACAGTCTTCCACAAAGTGGTCTTGTGTCCGGTGATCATTTTAACTTTTCCTGTGACGGTGGGTGTTTCTGCTTTACTGATATCTGTGGTTGCCGCAGCAATGCAGATTTCCTGGTCGTGGCATCGATGGCTGGCAGAGATTCATGACGGGGAGAAGGGTTTCTATGGTTGGTTCTGTGGTCAGATAGGCCTTCCTGCGTGCTCTCCTTACCAAGTTGTAGTGCTGGATAGTAGTGGTGTCTAACCCATAGCTTGTTGTCTGTAGTATGTAGTTAACATCTAGCTTATAGTTTTTTGTCTGTAGTATGTAGTTAACATCTAGCTTATAGCTTGTTGTCTGTAGTATGTAGTTAACATCTAGCCTATAGTTTGTTGTCTGTAGTATGTAGTTAACATCTAGCTTATAGTTTGTTGTCTGTAGTATGTAGTTAACATCTAGCCTATAGTTTGTTGTCTGTAGTATGTAGTTAACATCTAGCTTATAGCTTGTTGTCTGTAGTCTGTAGTTAACATCTAGCCTATAGTTTGTTGTCTGTAGTCTGTAGTTAACATCTAGCCTATAGTTTGTTGTCTGTAGTATGTAGTTAACATCTAGCTTATAGTTTGTTGTCTGTAGTCTGTAGTTAACATCTAGCCTATAATTTGTTGTTTGTAGTTAACATCTAGCCTATAGTTTGTTGTCTGTAGTCTGTAGTTAACATCTAGCTTATAGCTTGTTGTCTGTAGTATGTAGTTAACATCTAGCTTATAGTTTGTTGTCTGTAGTCTGTAGTTAACATCTAGCTTATAGTTTGTTGTCTGTAGTTAACATCTAGCCTATAGTTTGTTGTCTGTAGTATGTAGTTAACATCTAGCCTATAGTTTGTTGTCTGTAGTATGTAGTTAACATCTAGCTTGTTGTCTGTAGTCTGTAGTTAACATCTAGCCTATAGTTTGTTGTTTGTAGTCTGTAGTTAACATCTAGCCTATAGTTTGTTGTCTGTAGTTAACATCTAGCCTATAGTTTGTTGTCTGTAGTTAACATCTAGCCTATAGTTTGTAGTCTGTAGTTAACATCTAGCTTATAGCTTGTTGTCTGTAGTTAACATCTAGCTTATAGTTTGTTGTCTGTAGTCTGTAGTTAACATCTAGCTTATAGCTTGTTGTCTGTAGTATGTAGTTAACATCTAGCCTATAGTTTGTTGTCTGTAGTATGTAGGTAACATCTAGCTTATAGCTTGTTGTCTGTAGTATTTAGTTAACATCTAGCCTATAGTTTGTTGTCTGTAGTATGTAGGTAACATCTAGCCTATAGCTTGTTGTCTGTAGTATGTAGGTAACATCTAACCTATAGCTTGTTGTCTGTAGTATGTAGTTAACATCTAACCTATAGCTTGTTGTCTGTAGTATGTAGTTAACATCTAACCTATAGCTTGTTGTCTGTAGTCTGTAGTTAACGTCTAGTCTGCCTGAGATGCAAAGAAACGATAATCTGCATATTTATGAGCCAGATCTGAAGAGCAGATGTGTCGGCAAAACTCAAGGTCTGGAACAAGACAGCCAGAACTTTCTGCTAGAGTGAACAGCCAGAACTTTCTGCTAGAGTGAACAGCCAGAACTTTCTGCTAGAGTGAACAGCCAGAACTTTCTGCTAGAGTGAACAACCAGAACTTTCTGCTAGAGGGAACAGCCAGAACTTTCTGCTAGAGTGAACAGCCAGAACTTTCTCCTAGAGTTCACAGCTAGAACTTTCTGCTAGAGTGAACAGCCACAACTTTCTGCTAGAGTGAACAGCCACAACTTTCTGCTAGAGTGAACAGCCAGAACTTTCTCCTAGAGTGAACAGCCAGAACATTCTGCTAGAGTGAACAGCCAGAACTTTCTGCTAGAGTGAACAGCCAGAACTTTCTGCTAGAGTGAACAGCCAGAACTTTCTGCTAGAGTTTACAGCCGGTGAACAGCCAGAACTTTCTGCTAGAGTTTACAGCCGGTGAACAGCCAGAACTTTCTGCTAGAGTGAACAGCCAGAACTTTCTGCTAGAGTGAACAGCCAGAACTTTCTGCTAGAGTTTACAGCCGGTGAACAGCCAGAACTTTCTGCTAGAGTGAACAGCCAGAACTTTCTGCTAGAGTGAACAGCCAGAACTTTCTGCTAGAGTTCACAGCCAGAACTTTCTGCTAGAGTGAACAGCCAGAACTTTCTGCTAGAGTGAACAGCCAGAACTTTCTGCTAGAGTGAACAGCCAGAACTTTCTGCTAGAGTTCACAGTTGGTGAATGCTGAGAAGAGGAAATATTTCTGTGCTACCGCTTTACTATGCTGTCGTGACCTAGTTCTGTTCTAACATACCAGTTTTTAATTAATGACATTTTGTTACATGTCAAGTTTTGTTTTTGTTGATGTCCCATAGCTGCTGCATACTGCCATTACCACACATCTTTCTGGCATCATTATAGTGCCTGATGTAATATGCCATTCCACATGTAATATAACAGATTTATTGTTGGAGATATTTTCCACATGTAATATAACAGATTTATTGTTGGAGATATTTTCCACATGTAATATAACAGATTTATTGTTGGAGATATTTTCCACACGTAATAATATAACAGATTTATTGTTGGAGATATTTCTCACATGTAGTAAAACAATTTATTATTGAGTATGTATTTATAAAATAACAGGTTTATTTTTTTAAGATGTAATTTATTTTTAAAATAGATTTATTGTAAGGGAAATATTCCATGCTTAATATAACACTGTAATTACATTTATCTATTATATGTAATGTCACAGATTTATTGTTAAGATAAATTCCAAATGTAAATGACAGGTTCAGAATTGGAGAAACATTTCAATATATTGTCACAGGTTTATTATTGAAGAAATATTCCAAATATAATTAAACAAATTATTGAAGCAACATTCCGCATGTAATATAACGTTTTTTTAATTGGAGATATATTCAACTTTTAATAACACAGACTTTTTTAAATATTTTTTTTTATATTTTCTTCTTTATGAATTATAACTAAGAAATAATTATTGAAGATTTTTTTCATGTAGTGCATCATTTATGTGTGTGGAAATAAATTGTCTTTGTAATATAACATTTATTATTGGAAATGTTTATGCATGTAATGTAACAATCTATTACTGGAGATTCTTTTTCTCATGTACAGGTTTATTATTGTGGAGACTTTGTTTGTTCATACAAAATAACAGATGGTTTGTGATCTATAAAACAGTATCTATATATTGCAGTTTGTGTTCGCAGAGATACTGGAATAAAGAAATGGTGTTGAGGTCTAGACAAAACTGCTCTTGTAGCAGGTCCTTTGCAGAACGTGCTCGCACCATGAAAGAAACTCGGTCTCCGGCCAACTGTCCTGCCTCGTGCACTTTCCTATCCAAAGAGTCACTTATATCTGTTGCCCATCTTCGTGTTGGTTGGCCCCTCCCCCTCCTTCCTGGTAACATGCCTTCTGCTGTTGTTCTTTTCCAATTCGCTGAAGTGCTTGTTCTAACCAAAATATTTGAGCTTCCGAGACGAGATGTTGTTTTAACTATTAGCTAATATTCCTAAATCTTCAGATGGTCTAGAATGTCCGTATTTCTTCTCTTCTTTGTCCATGGTTTTCTGAGAATCTTTCTAAAGCATTTCAGCTCAGAAGTCCCTATTTTCCTCCCTAAGGACCAGGTAAAGCTACAAAACTGTTACAATCACAGAACAAAGATTGTGGGGGGGGGGGGGGGGGAATTAGAAGAAGCTAATCAAGGAAGAGTAGAAAACACTTCCCATTTCTGTGAATTTTAAGACCTTATTAACCGAAGGTATCACGCCTGAAGTGAGAGAACAAAATTAACGTGAATGTTATGTTGACAAATCAACAAGAAGCGGAATGAGTCAGCTTCTCAAGGAGGCACCGTCAGGAATGACAAAATAAATTTTGCTCAAACATCTCACGGCATGGAAGCAGAGGCCTTAATCTTTTTTATACTTCATATACAGGTTTATATTTAGAAATGTATTCTGCATAAAATAGGACAGATTTATATTTGGAGATTTACTGCTTGTGCTATAGACTTATATTTGAAGATTTATTCTACCTGCTGTAGATTTATATTTGAAGTTTTCTCCATTAATTATATACAATTTCTTTTTATCTTGTTGAATATACATAAACATGTTGTTTAGCAGGGATGTATCAGATTTTGTATATGAGGTATGTGTACATATAAGTGCATGCACAAAGATGTGTGTGGCATGGAAGCAGACCTAATCTTTTGTATACTCATCTACAGGAGGTTCTGGTTGTATGTCAATTTTCTGTGGAGAGGTTCTGGTTGTGCTTGTCAACTTCTATTGGAAGAGGTTCTGGTTGTTTGTCAATTTATGTGGGGAAGTTTCTGGTTAATTTTGTCAACTTCTGTGGGGAGGTTCTGTTGTTTGTAAACTTCTGTGGGGAGGTATCTGGTTTTTTGTCAATGTTACTGTGTGCATGCAAAGGTTCTGGTTGTGTGTGCGTCCACCCACTGTAAACTTCTGTGGGAGGTTCTGGTTGTTTGTCAACTTCTGTGGGAGGTTCTGGTTGTTTGTCAACTTCTGTGGGGAGGTTCTGGTTGTTTGTCAACTTCTGTGGGGAGGTTCTGGTTGTTTGTCAACTTCTGTGGGAGGTTCTGGTTGTTTGTCAACTTCTGTACTTGTCTTGTCCCAAAACTTGAGTTTTTTGTGCACATCCGTTTTACAAATCTGGCTAATTTGTATGCAAAATGTTGATTCCTTGCCTCCTAGGACTTTGAAACCAAGGCAAGGCGGTCTACTGGCAAATCACCCACAGCTGGGGTTGAACCAGGTATCTCTGAGTGATGAAGCATATTTGCAATGCCTAAGAGATGGATGCTGACGTCGCATCGGTAGGAAGCTTGATGAGGATGGGCCAGTCAGTGATTCAGCGTAACGTGATGGACAGGCTGAAATGAGGCAGAGGTTGGTCGGGTCTGATCCTGCAGGTTTTGTTGTTTAACTGCCGGCTGGCTCCGTCCAGCGTCCAGGCTGACTGGCTTGGGTATGGTCCCGGACATTCCGCGATGAGGTCTTGTCATGCCGTGCGTGTACATGGTGCCGACTACGCTCACTTCAAAAAAGGGGTTGGCACATTTTTTTATAAATAAAGTAATTTCAGAGTATGCAGGCCTGTATGACAGTCCACCCTCTTGCCTTGTGATTTACAGCTAGGCTGCGATATCTGTGCCTTCCAA